ACAAACACTAAAACCCTGGTTCCACTGGCAGCTAGGATCCAGGACATGAACCAAATAAAACTGAACAGAAAGACTGACAGAAAGACAAGCAATGATCTGGCCCTGAATGCTCAGGCTGAACTGAATATAAACCAGAGGAAACAGGAGAGGGGAATAAATTATAATTGAGGCAGGGAAGGAAGAGGGCAGGGGAGAGGAATAACTAATTAGGGAGGAGCAAACAGGCCAGATCATGACAAATACAAGGCCTTGGCTATATAAAGACTCAAACTCACTGTGGATCCAGACATTTGAATTGAGAAAGCTTCTTGGAGAGGTAGCGAAACGTCTTCAAATCTTGGAAACCAAGTCCAGTGGATTGTTTTTTAAACTTTTACGGAAGCACCTCATGTCTGTCCACCACGTGATCTTTTATGGTAACAGAAAAAAGTGTACCTCAGAATAAATATTTAGTAACCCGCAGCATGCTGTAATTTTATCCAAATTCCTTTGTATGCAATGAGAGTGAATTATTGTGACCAGGCCCCTTTAATTCATTTCAATTGTATTCAAAAATACTTTTATAGGCGTTGATAGCTGTAGGCAGGAAGGATGTTCTGTAGCGCTATGAAAATGCATTTTGCTAATTTTTTTCTTGTGTCCTAGTGTACTCATAACCAAGTTTAATTAGATAAATAAATACAATAATAGTTTTGAATGCTACCAAGTTTTTATAAAACATAGATACACAAAAATAATAACAAGTGGTTAAGACAGCTTCAGACACGTTTTCTCAAATGGCTACAGAGCTTGTCTAAAGGAGCAGCACAGCTAATAACAGCAGAAACTTAGAAAAGTAGCAGTTGAAAGCTTCTGATTGCCATGGTACCAATATAGCGTGACATTTTGACTAAGAGGGAATGTTTTGCACAAAATTATCCAAAATTGTTTCTATAAAATAAACTGCGTGACAATGAGTCACTTGCTAAATAGGATGTGAAAATAGGATGTGAAAGCTGAGAAATATTGATATATTTTATTCAGCATTTTTTTTATTGAAGCCAATACATTCATTTGCGAATTTGATTACTATTAACTGGGCAATTGCCATAAGAACATGTCCTTAAAATTGCCAGGTCTTGTCATCATATTATATATTTACAACTACTCACCAACCAAAAAAAACCTAAACTACTCTTTTTGTGTTTAGAGTTGATTCACATTTCCTTTATTTCAGGTCAAATAAATGCAGAAGTAACTGTGTTATTTGTGTGAATATAGAGTTAAAATAGTTTTAAAACCATATAATTGTGTGAGGGGAGCCATCAGTGTTTAGAATATTGCTTTTTCACAGTCTAACATGTTTTGTGTGGATTTAAAGCCAGACAGCTGAATTTTCTCCATTTCTTTCAGAGCTTGCTATCTGTCACATGATGCTGCTCTGTCCTTACTGCCTGCATCAGTCAACGGTTTTATGCCTCACCATAAACTCTTGCAAATGGGTTTTTCTCTGCTTGACCAAATAGATGACTGATGAGAGTGTGAAAAGTGGGCCTCTTTTCACACTCAATGCATACAAGTTGAAAGCCCTGATTCACTTTACTAAGTTAGTTGCTTTATTTAGCCATTAATTATACAACTTCTAGAGCATTTTTAGGATTCAGTTTATACCTGAAACAATGATACCAGTTCATTTGAATTTATCTGCAGAAAACAATTATTTACCTATTGAGATATGACAATCATATGACCTAGGTTGACTCCTTCCCGCTATTGTCTCAACCCCCATCGCTATGCAGGGAACCAAAACATCTCAATCTGGTCAGCCAGGCCAACAATGACCCCAAAAACTCCCTTTTCAGAGGCATAGGCCAGGATTGGGTATTGCAGGCCAACAACGTCTTTAACAACTTCCCATTACTAAGACCTGGACCTGCTGGTCCGGTTCGATTTGCATGTTTTCTAAGCCATAACAAGGCTTTGTTGGGCTACTCCATAAAGCTTGAAGCTCAACACTAGTTCAGACATTATAAATTGAAAAAAGCCTCCTGGATGGGAAGTGAAACATCTTTAAACTTGGAAAACAAAGTCCAGTGTTTTTTTTTTTTTTTTACTTTTTAAACTTTTTTGTATGACTATCACCTGGATGACATAGAATCTTACCAGCTTCTTATGACATTACACTTCAATACATGTAAAATATTTTTCCTTTTGCATTCAGTATCTCTTTATGCTACTGGATTTGAAGTTGGATCTAAGCTTGTAGCGGTCAGGATGGGGTATCATTACCTTTCGGATATAACATAAATCAAAATAATGGTATCTGGAGGGAGTTTGATCGGTTGTGGATGTTTAACCCTCAAACTAGACATGATCTTTTTTTGCCCAAAAAAAGCTCCTTATGACATAGGTGACTTTTCAGTCCAACTTCTCTTGTGTTTTTGCTGTAGGAGTGTGTTTCATGTATAAAGAGGTGAAAAAGGGCATCAGAAAAGGGTGACAACTTCATAAGCAGCGATCAGGTTTAATCACACACAGAGTAAAAAGCCAAAGTGCCATTAGGTGCCAGGCTCACCTTTCACAGAAAGACTCTGCCTGTCGACTGGGCTAACAAATTAAATTCTCTTCAAGTACTTCAGAGACATTAGAAGTCTTGGATGGCATGCTAAAAACCACAGACTTTCTATCGGGTCCTGCGCCTTGCTTTTATCAACTCACTGATGACACACAATGGAAAACACAAATAGTCATTTCACTTTTTTGATTTTACAGCATTGTACAAGCTCAATACCCTTGGATTTTTCCACATTTTTTCATATTATATTTTGGGGTTTTATGTGATATACAAACACAGTTGTGCCTACTAAAAAGATGAAGAAAAAAAATACATGATTTTCATCTTCCATGGCTTTCATACCCCTCAAACTGTTTGTCCAAGATCAAACCTGATAAGTCCATATAGGCTCTACTGGTTTGAAGTTTATTTTCAGAATGCAGAGGTTATGTGAAGACCTCTGAGGCTTTTAGAGACCATTAGAAAACCAGCAGCACATTGGTGCCAGTGGTCCTGAAGTGAGAAAACACCGAAAAATAAAAAATGTATGAATCCTCGGTTTGTACCAATGAACTAGATTCTGTATAATTTCTCTCACTTGCAACTCTCGCTTTTTTTTCTAAACTGTCTCTAATTCATTTTTCACCCATCACCTCCTTCTCACATGTCCTGATTTCCTGCTCCATTTCTGGAGCATCACCTGTGTAATACGAGAATGTCTCAGTTTTCTCTCTGCTCCCCTGCGACCTTGTTTTTAACCTTGTCCACTTTGTTTCCCTCTCTCTCCTTTCTTTCTCTTCACCTCTTTCCTCCATTAGCCAAGATGGCAATGAGCAGCATCCTCAACGCCGATGACATCAAGAAAGCTCTCGATGCATTTGCAGGTAAAATTCTTGACACGGATCCATTACAGTTTTGCTTGAAAACCTTTGACTTTAGCAGGGATCCTATATAAGAGGATCATCTTTTAACAGTTTAGTCTCCAAGTTTAGTCACCAGACCCTCACTCTGTTTAAACACTACTTTACTCGCTGACAGTTATTTACTAGTTACCAGGCAAATACTTTACTTTTTATGCTTTTAAAACATCAAAGAATGTGGAAATTGTTTTTGTAAGGAAATTCTAAATTAATTAATTATTTATTTATGGAATATAAGGTGTTTGTTCTTAATAAAAAAAAGTAATAATTAATTTAAAGATCTACAGATCAGAAAACATTGAAAACGAATGTGCACTATTCTGCACTATATGTTATAGATTTGATTATGCTTTTTTTTAATAATAAAATTAAAAGAAGATGCTTTAGAACAAAAATGTCAAATTTACTTGAAATAAAATATGACAGTAGTTTATAGTCAGAGGTGTCAAGTAGCAAAGTACAAATACTTTTTTACTGTACTTACATACACTTTTTAGGTATCTACAGTATACTTTACTGCCAACTTATTTTTCTTCCTACTTCTGACTTCTACTCGTTACATTTTCATACAAGTATCTGTACTTTCTATTCCTTAAAGTTTTTAAAACAAATGTTACTCATTACTCTTGGCTTCAGTTTAATATTTATAAATATTTATTTCACGTCATGTGCGCCATCCAATGCAGATCATTGGCGCCATCCAGATCTAGTGAAAACTAGTTTAATTGGATGAGTCATATAACACAGACACTCATTGGTTAGCTAAAGGAAATCATCAGAAGCAAGCAGGTGTTCTTCAAACTGCAAACGTGAATTGTCTATGCCATGCTACAATGTTGGATTCAGAAACAGATGTTTGAATGTCTGAAAGGTCGGACACAGGCGAGAGCGTATCGGGAGACGGAGACCAACAAGACCTCCCTCTTCCTTGGCCCTATCTCAAAGAATTTTTTTAGTTGACAAATTGAGCTTTCTATTCATCTAATGGGATCTGGCTTTTTGTTTT